CCCCCTCCCCCTTCAAGTTGGCGAGGGAAGAATGAACCCCCAACTTGCTCAGAAGCTCACGATAAGAAGACCCAGAAAGAGGTTAGTAAAGATGTCCGCTAACTGAGAACGAGTGGGAAGAAAAAAAAGAGAGAAATGAGGCCAGATTGAAACTGCTGACGGACGAAATGGCAAACAAGTTCGATGTGTTTCGTTCGCTCGTGAAATATAGGGTTTTTTGCAATGTAAATCGCAGCTTGGCTATCAGAATGAAGAGGAATAGGCAAAGTGGAAGGTACAAAGAGATATGTAAGGAGGTAAGACAACCAGGTTAAATTTGCAACTACACGGCGCATAAATCTGTACTCTGCCTTTGCAATAGACAAAGAAACTGAAGGTTGTTTATTGGATTTCCAAAAAATGGGACAACCACCCAAACTGATAAAGAAACCACTGACGGAGTGACGGAATTAGGACAAGTTAATTCCCCTAATCGGAGTCACAAAAAGTAAGAAATCAAAAGAAGGGGAAGAGGTCACGAAAAGTCCAAGACCAGGGTCATTGAGAAGATAGCGAAGGCAATGCATGGCAGCATCCATATGGGGAGAACGACAATCTTTCATAAATTGGGAAAGGTATTGAACAACAAAGGAAAGATTCGACCTAGTGTGAGTCAAGAAATTGAGCTTACAAAGAAGCTGACGGTAAAAAGAAGGATTAGAAAGATGAGGGCTAACCCCGGCAAACAACTTATGATTTGGAGCCAAAGGTGAATTTACCGGAGAAAGGTCCAGACAAGAAAATTCAGTGAGCAACTCAAGGGAAAACTTGTGTTGGCTAATGACCAAACCAGTGGGCTCCCGCAAAATCTCCATACCCAGAAAAAAAGATAAGTGCCCCAAATCTTTGATTTCAAATTCAACATCTAGAAACTGTTTCAATTTGTTCAATTCTTGCTCATTATTGCCAGTGAAAAGGATATCATCAACGTACACTGCCATCAAATTTAAGTTTCACCTTGTAAAGCCATTTACAGAGCTAAGCCTTTCTCCTAGGCAGTAGAGATACTACTTCCCAAGTCTCATTGGCCAATAAAGCATCTAGTTCCTTAGCCATGGCTTCTTGCCAGGCAAGATGGGTAACAACCTGAGAAAATGAGCTAGGTTCCTGAATATAGGAGATAGAATTAACAAGTTGTCGATTGGAAGAAGAAAGGACAGAAGGAAGAACATTAGGAGATATATATATATGAAAGAAAATGTGGAGTAGAGACATTTGTAAGATGTACAACACCACAGGTAAAATCAGGTAAAATCTGAAAGGTAGGAAGGTGTCTTATGTTCTCTTAAGGGCCTGCGCAAAGGGGTTTCAGAAGGAATAGGAGAAGGTGAATGATGAATAGGTGAAAGAGGAGAAAGGATAGTGGTTGAGAAAGGTGAAGGTGCAGAACCAAAAGATGATGGGGTAGAGGATGACCTGGATATAGGAAGAGGAGAGGAAGAATTAGAAGGAAGGAGAGGAGAAGAGGAAGACCTAAAAGATGAATCAACAACATGTGGAGAACTAGAAGTAGGGGCAGAAGTAGGAGATGAGGAAGGTATAGAGAGAGGATAGGAAGAAAAAGGTACAGTAGGGGAATCAGAAAATAGTAGAGGAGAAATAGAAGGCAGAATAGAGAAGGGAAATATAGATTCGTGGAAAACAACATTCCTATAAATAAAGATATGGTTAGTTTGCAACTTCAATAACTTGTAACATTTCTTGCCATAGGGGTAACCAAGAAAAATACAAGCAGTAGCCCAAGAATCAAGTTTTCCTATGTGATAGGACAGAGTAGATGCAAACATAGGCAACCAAAACATTTAAGAAAATTATAATTAGGAGATTTTCCAAAAAGAATCTCATATGGTGTTTTGCAAGAAGCAATTTAGTAGGATATCTGTTGATAAGGAAAGTGGTTGTCAAGAGACACTCACCCCTAGTATATAGTAGGAACTTTAGATTAAAATAGCAAAGTCTACAAGTTTCAAGCAAGTGTTTGTGTTTCCTTTCAACAATACTATTTTGTTGAGGGGTGGTCACACAACTAGTTTGGTAAAGATTACATTTGGATTGAAAATAGATGGTAGCATCAGAACCACTCCCCAACTCTAAGGTATTATCATATCTAATGACTTTAATTTTGGTGACAAATTACCTTACTACCATAGCAATAAAAGATTTGAGAACACTAAAAGCATTTCCTTTGGTGCTTAAAAGATAGGTCCAAGTACCCCTACTAAAATTATCAACTATAGTAAGGAAGTACTTAAAACCATCATAGGTTTATAAGAAGGCATTCATTCCAGTATATCAGTTGCTCTTTGAGATGGTTAATAAAGTGTTGCTTCCCCACGCTGAGAGAAGATTTATTGCATCTAAAGTTGACATGTTCCTTATGGAAGCCTTGGAAAATCTTACCACCATCAATCTGCCTGGCATAATGATTGAGCATATGCAGAAGGTGACAAATCTTAAGGATGGGAATCCTGAGTTACTTTATGGTTTTCTTCTCACAAAGGTCTTTGAGTTCTTCAAAGTACCTCTGGGACAGGCCAAAATGGGCACTAAAGAGTAATCCTTTTCAAAAAATACTTTTGAGAAGTGTGAGTGCATTGACAAGGTCGGAGGAGTTGGAAGCACTTCCACTATCTCTCAGCTGATAAATGCTCAGAATATTGCCACAGAGGAGATCTGAAAGTTGAAGGCTAGGAACACGATTCTTGAGAGTCAGCTTAGTCAGTTACAAGAGGCACCTAGTTCTAGTAGTTCTCATAGTTCAGAGGTTGCACGCCTAATAAAGGAGAATGCTGAACTCAAAAAATAGATGGAGGACCTGAAAGAAAGACTGCTCAATGAGCAAATGTCCGCAAATGCTCGCATGGATCTTGTCCTCTAAACCCTTGCTTCCTCTTCAAAGCCCCCTTCCTCCAGTGTCCCCTAAAGGATGTCCCCTTAGTGTCAAGTTTTCAGTGTCCATCTTCTTAGTTGTAATTATTTCTGGTAATTGTTTTTATTTGTTTTAAAATTATGGATGATTACAATGATTCTGCTCCCGCCTGTAAAAATCCAAATTTGGTTAATGCAAGTGGTTTTCTTTTGTTGTTTATGCTACAACTCTTTTGTCTCTGTTCTCTATCATGTTGTGTGCACACAAATGGCATGAGTTAATCACGCTAGACTTCTTTATGCTGCTTACTTGTTCTGTGCTTTTTATAATGCCAAAAGGAGGAATATTAAATTGAATAATAAAGAGCATAAACGAATAATAATCCGAAGGGGGAGAAATACAGACTCAGGGGAAACTCACTAAGGTTCAGGTATAGATTAAGGGGAAAACTTAAAGTCTTTCAGGTTCGCTATCTGGTTCTATGTGGCTCTTTATGGGATTTTCAATTATGAGTTTGTCTTTATCAAAAAGGAAAAAATTGATAGGTTACAAGTACCTTGGTCATAAGTACTTTATTTTATGTTTTGATTATCTAACAAACTTACTATCCAGTACCAGATAAGGAACATGTTACACATTTACAAGACCTTAAGATCACAAGGTTCCAGCTTGTGATACGGAAAATTTTAAAGTAGAAGGAACAACTGAGGGAATAGGTCCCTACCAGTTCCCGGAGAGATTGTACGAAGCCAACTCTCCAGTTGGAAAGTTGCTGCTTGCACACGCTACAGTACAGGAACAGTGTATCAATCAACTTTCTGAGGAAGACTTTTTACCTACCTTACTTACATCATTGTATGTGAGGTCACACATATATTATTAACATCAAGGGAGGTAAAACACATTCACTTGAACACTTAGAGTTTTTACTTAAGCTCTCTCACATGATCATCCAGGAAGTAATTCTCAAGTGCATCAAGAACAAAGAACAAAACAACTACGGACCAATTCCCACATTAAGTTATTGTATGTCCTTAGTTGAGCTATAACTTTGTAATAGTTCTTCAAGTGTAATTCCTACCTAGCTTGTTTAGAAGCATTCTGTAGGAAACCCTTTGTAAACCTTAAACCCGTGTGTTTGAGTCTTGGATAGAGTTAGTCAAGTTATAAAGTCTTTGTAATAGAGTTGTTACAAAGTAGCATGTAATATAGTGTTACAAGTTAGTGAGGGATTAAGAGGTTAATTCCTAGGTTGCATGGGTTGTAATCTAAAAGATGCTCGGTAGTGAAGTTGAAATCCTACAAGGATAGGTCGTGGTTTTTAATCCCGTTGAGCTGAAAATTTTCCACGTAAAATTCCTCTTGTCATTTATTTACTGCAGTGTGCGTGACCTGATTCTCTATAGAGTTTGGTGGACCCTTATATTCTATCACCATAGATTACCACATGAAATTTTAGCTAGATAATAAAGTGCAAACAGACTGATAACAATTATTTATAGATGATAAGTTTGTCTTATTTGTGTGCATGTGATAAAATTGGGTGAAAAGTTTGCATCAGATAGAGCACATCTTTCACTCTACCAGGATCCAGAGACCTCCTCAAGGAAGGGCCCTATAAGAAAGAAGAAGTAGCAGAGAAGGTAAGCAAGTTGTTAAATTTTGAACATAATTTCTGAACTGATAATAGGTTGAATTTGAAACTAAGAACTAAAAGGACTTTGTTTAGAGTTAATTTAGGATGAATACAAGATTAACCTGCATGAGTGACTTTAATCCTAAAAGAGTTAGGTAGATTTACAAAAACAGGCTGTTGTAAGGGCTTAATGTTGAATAAAATGGACTCATCAAATATGATATGTTCTGAAGCCCCAGAGTCAAGTATCCAAAAATGATAGATAGAGTTTTTAGGAATAGTTAAGATAGTAAAGGAAGTAATACCAGCATAGTTAACTATCACATTTGTTTCAGAACTAGATGTGCCTTGTTGTCCAATTTTAACCTGGTGTAGTATCTCCATCAACTCGGAAATTTTCTCCTGATTCAATTCAATACTAACATCAGTGCTTGGAGACTGAGTAGTTCTGCTTGAGTATTTATTGTATTACTACGTAGGGCTGTGCATTTGGATCGGATATCCGAAATCCGATCCGATCCACTCTATTTCGGATTTTCGGATTTCAAATTTCGGATTTTCGGATTGGATACGGATTGTGTTTTATGAAATTTCGGATTTTCGGATTGGATTCGGATTGGTATGATTTTAATCCGATCCGATCCGATATCCGAAATTATATGTACCTATATAAATACACACTAAAATTTTAGGGTTATGCTTATTCATTTTTCACACACCCCCTCACTCACTTAGATTTTTCTGCCTCTCTTGCACCTCTCTTCTCTTCAGTGAAGACTAAAAGAGTCTCAATGACTCAAACTTCCGATTTTACTTTGATTTTATGTCTCTTTCTTCCGCCTCTCTTCTCTTCTCTTTTGTCTTTTATGTCTATTTCATGTTCTATTCTTCAACTTTTGATTTTATTTTGATTTTTTTGTTTGTTTTGGTAGATGGAAGATGAGATAGAGACACCGAATGAACTTTAAATTGTTGAAATTTTTTGTGACAATCCGATCCGACAATCCGAAAAATTATCCGATCCAAAGTTTAAAATCCGATCCAATCCAATGTTAATTCAGATCGGATTCGGATTGCCCTTTTCAGAATCCGAAATCCGAATCCGAAATAGGCTAAATCCGATCCAATCCGATCCGTGCACAGCCCTATTACTACGTGCTGAATTATAGAATATTGACTGTGTATTCTGCCTTGGTTTTTGTTCTTAAAACCTCCTTATTGAAAATTTGTGGGATAACCATGGAGTTTGAAATATTTTTCCATAGTATGTCCTGGCCTTTTGTAATACTTGCAACTAGAATTGTTTCTCTTGTAGCCCTGATAGGAGTTTGGCTTTGAGGTGTTGTTAGATGCCCCTTGCTGCAGATTGAACCTCTGATTTCCTTGCCCTAGGATGGATGATTGTCTAACAACAGAGAAAGAACTAGACTTTGTAGGTAAATTCCCCATAGGTGGTATACTCATTTACCTCTCCTCTTGTAGTAACAGAAAGTATGCTCGATCAATGTCTAATGAGGAATTCATCATTATTATGTTACCTCTGAAAGCAGTATATGTTCATTGAGTCCCATAAAAAATTGCACTAATTTTTGTCTGTTCTCAAGTGCACTGTTTTTCTCCACAACTCCACACTTACAATCAACACAGTTGCATACTGCCCTAGCATCGAGTAGATCAATTTCATCCCATATAGCTTTCATGTTATTAAAATATGTCGCGATATTGTTTCATCCTTGTACAGTTTCCATTATTTGCTTTTATAGTTCAAATAATTGTGCTAGGTTAGACTGTCCATATCTTTTCTCAAGCTATTTTCACAAATCATATGCAGATTTGGAGTGAATTACACTGCATCTAATTTCTTTGGTGAGAGAATTCAATAGCCAAGCAAATTCCATATCATTACATCTCGTCCATAGATTGAAAAATTTAGAATTTTCCTTTGGTTTTACCTAGGTCCCATCGACGAAACCAAGCTTTCCTCCATGATCCATATCTAGTGCCGTCAAAAGCAGAAAATACTAAAGTCATACATGTCGAGTCTGATGCATGGAGATAGTAAGGATGAAGATGATCGATTTTCGCCATTAGAGGAGGAACAGACGCAGCAGATTCACTGGAAGCAGAATCCTCAGTCAAGACCATATTCAACCAAAAAAATCAAAGAACATTTGAGATTTCTAGAAGTTTCTGTCGAAGTCGAAAATGGATCTGGTGAAATTGACTTGCTTATACGATATAAAACTTGGGGAAGAAGAAAATTAGTTTCATTCTGCTCAAAATGAGTGTCATATTATATACACGCATCAATTAACCTAACTGACTATCACGTGTTCACTTATATTCCCACATGTGTATAAATAAGTTATGTTGAGTCTTCACACAAGAAGCTTCTAGATATAGATTCTACGGTTGAGAACAAAACACATCACTTAATGAACAAAGGCTTTGATCATTCCACGTGTTGTTGCTATTGTTTAATGAGGTAGCCTTGTGTGTTGATTTCTCGCATTTGTTATCATCTGATGGCTTCAATAACCCTGGCCGCCACAACCTCCTCTGAACACAATACCACCACTGTCGACAAATATGTATGCTTTACTTTTACATTACCAATCTCAATTATTAATAACAATTGCATCTAACTATTTTTTATATGACTTGATAGTAATTTTTCAGATACAAAAGTTAAACTCAAATGTATATATAATTTGACTTGCAAAAAGCAACATTACGAAGCGAGAAGGAGATGTGTTGTATCATTTAATTATTGAGCGCACAACACAAAACAATGGGTAGTGTTTCAACTAATCGACAAATAAAATATATATGAGATCTTTGTAAAATTATTTTCTCTTATATAAATTTCCATTAGTCAAAAAAAATATTTTTTGTATTGCTATTTCTTTTTTAATTTTCATCCAATTTAATACTTGTATAAGGGTCCGATAAAATTTAAATTCGCACTACAAAATTTCAAATTAATTTCTTAACAAAAGCGACTTATCTCTAGGATTCAAAGGCAGAAACCTTTTTATTTGTTATTGCAACAACTTGAAGTAGCGTCTCACCCCAAGAAAAGAAAAAGGAGGAGAAGAAGGGTGAAGAAAAGACTTGAAGTAGGTCTCCTTATTCGTTCTTTAAAGTTTAAAACATAAAATTAGGAGGGATTGAGGGAAGTATAAGAACAGCTTGGAAAATGACAATTATCCCTTTTCTATTTCCTCTGCCTTTGGGAAGTGTCCTCTAAGTTTTTCCAACAGCTTAGCTTTTCAGCATTTGGACGGTGGCAATGGGGACTACTTAGGGGTCCTTTTTTTCCTTCTAATTTCTTATTCGTGTCATAGCGTAACTGGTAAAGTTGTTGTCATTCGAGCCGTAAAAATAGTCTCTTGCAGAGATGCATGGTAAGATTGCGTACAATAGACTTCAGTGGTCCGCCCTTCCCTGGACCCCGCACGTAGCGGGAGCTTAGTGTACTAGGCTGCTCTTTTTTTTCTTATTCGTGCCGAGAGTCTATCAGAAACAACATCTTTGTCTCATAGGGGTAGGGGTAAGGTATGCGTACACATTACCCTCCCCAGACCCCACTTGTGGGATTTTACTGGATCGTTATTGTTGTTGTTGTTGTAATTTCTTATTCGATATTTTGAATATTTGCATTAGAGCCTAATTATTAAATACGAATTTGCGTTGAAAAATCTTACCTTAGAGATAAAGCGCTTTTTAATAGAGGTTATTCCATACTCAAGGCTCGAATATAAAATTTCTGGTTAGGATAAATAACTTTGTTACTATTCACCGCAACCCTTATTGATTGATTAGTGTTACCTTTAATTAGCTTTATATAAGTCTTCCTCTCTCACGTGATTTTTCTACTTCGATTTCCATTTCAATCATTCACTTTCATTATCTTGTCATTTAGTTACGGCTCTAATGTTTCTTTTGAACAAATTATACTTATCTTACTCTATTATGAAACTTTGGTTTTATAATTTGATCATTACGCTAGGGATTATTGTCCATATGTTTATTATTTTAATAAGATTTCATTAACATTACTTTGTGGTTTTGAGATTGTTGAGTGCAGTTTTATAGATAGCTTCATGTTTTTTTATGAAAACACGCAACTCAATCGCTAATTTGTCCATAAATTAAATTGGAGGTTTTTATCATAGTAACTTAGTCAAAAATGGTTCGCTTGATAACAGACAACTTATTTATCATCATTTGCATGTGTACTAGCATGCAAGATTGATAACCTTGTGTGTAGAGATGGATTTAGGATTTGAAGTTTTTGGGTTCCAATGATAATTTTAAGTAAATTTATATCCAAATATTTATAGATATTTACTGAATTTTTTTACACATATACTTTGTTTGAACAAAAATTATTGGATACATGTGAACCAGTATATAGTATGGTAGATCCGCTCATATCATGTATTTATAACATATAGTCCCTATATAGGCCTATATGTTTCTAGCGAAAGATTTCTATTTTTAAAGTTTAAACTCGAAAATCTGATCAAAAAAGGAAGGATTTCAATTATCCTACCAAACTCTTTGTTGGTGATATTATTTTCGCTTCGAAGTCTATGTTGATCAATACTAACATGAAGAAATTAATTATTTTCTATTGA